GGAGTTATGGTTTGGCCCGGAATGAATTATCGAAGAATTGTTGGCCCCTATTTCTTTGACGGGTTTGTCAATTTAGAAACGTACTTACAGCTTTTACAAAAATTACGCGTCACTTTGAATGAGGATGACAGATTTGAAGGACGAGATATCATTTTGCAGCAGGTCAGCATCCCGTCGCATTTCAGCTTGGAGGTTCGCGCTTTCCTCAACGAGCGCTTCCTAAGATGGATCGGTAGAGGGGGTTGCATTAATTGGTCCCCAAGGTCTCCGGATCTTACAGCGATGGACTTTTTAATTTGGGGCTTAATTTAGAACCGCGCAACTCATCGAAAACGTCGAAGATCTGAAACATTGGAGAACAGTCGAGTTCGATATCGTCAATGAAGACCTTGCGATGCTCGCTTGTATTGTTAATTCGATCTTAAAACGCTATTTAAAATGTACTGAGATATCGGTGAACACCTATTTTAAGTATTTTTGTGGTTTAATGAAACAAAACCATAGTTTTCTAAACTTGTGTTTTTTTTTTATTTACTAAATTTTTAAAATTTGTGCAAATTTACTGGGTGACTTTTGCCCACCCCTGTATTACCTATAATATTATGTATAATAATGTGTGCATACAGTTCATCAAATTTCTAGAGGCTTTCGACGGCTAGACAGAGAAAGCACCACTGACAGGCATCCCGACGGATTTACGCAATGAAAGTACACTCTGCGCATCAAGTATTTCACTATTTCATTCAGACGTAAATGTCAGATGTAAATTTCGCTAAAACATTTCTTTTATTTTCGTTTGTGTTTTTTGCTCATTACAGTTTAATAGAACCTAAGTATGGAGTTTAATAGCAAATTAAGAGGCCGCGTGATTAACAGTCAATCTCGCGAAATAATAGCCAATGTTATAGAGTTTATGAGAAGAGAAGGAAACTTTAATTCACCTTCAATACCATTTAAAAATGTAAATGATCGTGTTGCTGCAGCCACAGGAGTATCTAAAAACACTGTCGTCCGCATTTCTGGAGAGAAAAAAAGAATCGATAATCGTGAGATATCAGAATTTTCATCACCAAGAAAAACCATTAAAAAAACCAAAAACAGTTATTGATATAGATGAAGCTGCACAAGAATCAAATTTTATTTTTTTATTACTAGATAGCTATTTTTGTTTCTGAGTTGTGTTCATTTACAGGCTCAATTTTTTCCGTTTCTCCTTTTTGATTTTATATGGGGTTTCAAGTTGTTTTTGACTTATTTCGACGTAAATCACAACAACACACTTTTTTACTTTCCTATCTGTATACAGATATAAGGAAAGTATAGGAATCATGATTTTTTTCGACCTCGAGTTTTCGACGGATTTTTACGTTTTGAGGTCCCCTGAATCCGTTTTGACTATTTTCGCGATGATGTCTGTGTGTGTGTGTGTGTGTGTGTGTGTGTGTGTGTGTGTGTGTCTGTGTGTCTGTGTGTGTGTGTGTGTGTGTGTCTGTATAACGCATAACTCATGAACCGATACACAGAAAAACACCAAATTTTAAACTTAAGCTTTGTTTCAGCGTCCAATGAGCTGATTAGATTTTGGGCAGAGTCGGAACATCTGGGGGGGTACTTTATAGGTGGTCATTTTTATATTTTATGGAATATATCTGTTATTTACGTTTGGAGAAGAAAATTCTTCAATTAAAAGTTACTTCTAATATAATTATCTATAATTTTTGTTTCATGCAAAATTTTCTTAAAATGGTCCGTATTCGAGAAATTTGACAAAATGTAAAAAAAATATTTTTTTTTAAAAATTGTTCAAATAAAAGTTGTTTGTAATATAATTCTCTATAATTTTTGTCCTATACATAATTTCTCTAAAATGGGCCGTATTCGAGATATTTGAGAAAATGTGTAAATTTCGAAATTTGAAGAAAACTCAAAAACAGATAAAGGAAAAAACATTAAATTTTAAACTTAAGGTTTATTTCGGCCTGACGTGAAATGATTAGATTTTGGACAAAGTCGGAACATCTGGGGGGGGGGGGGGTACTTTATGAGAGGCCGTTTTTATATTTTATGGAATATATCTGTTATTTATGTTTGGAGAAGAAAATTGTTCAAATAAAAGTTACTTCTAATATTTTTATCTATAATTTTTGCTTTATGTCAAAATTTTCTGAAATGGTCCGTATTCGAGAAATTTGACAAAATGTGCAAAATTCTGATTTTTATGAAAATTGTTGAACTAAAAGTTGTTTGCGATATCGATTTCTATAATTTTTGTTTATACATGATTTTTCTAAAATGGACCGTAATGGAAAAGTGCTAAATTTAAATTTTTCTGTATTTTCGTTTTCAATGAATATCTATAAAAAAATGTTTCGAGGTAGATGTATGTGTAAAATGTATATATTTAGTTTATCCTCTAAACATTTATAGAGATGCTGCAATAGGTTGTACAAAATAACCGGAAAATGCCTATAATAACTAGATAGGAAAGTCATGTGTTGGACACATCAGATTTTTAATAAAGCAAACAAGTGTTACGAGGTATATGTATGTGTAAACTACAATTACAAAAAATTGATATGAAACCCATGAAACCACCAACAAAAATGTAAAGCTAGCTTCCGTACTAGAACATGGTGTCATTCGTCGAGATAATTTATCGTTTTGTTTAATAGATCAAGAAATGTAAATATTCCCCTGTTATTTTTTAAAAAATTATAAGAGAAATAATTTTTTTTCTAAATAGTATAGTTTATTATTTTGTAGAAAAACAAAATTTCGAAAATTTTAGTAATGTTTCAGAAACAACCGTTATTAATAATAGGTACCATTTTCCTTAATAAGGTAGAAATAAAATATAAACTATTTCCACGATTTACAAAGGCCTACAAAAAAATTATAGGTATTTTCCGCTATCCTATAAAATTTATATTTTCTGACTCAATTTCAAAAGGTTGAAGGAATTCCAAAACACCTTTCATGGCATAATAATTATTTTCAATTCTACATACTATCTTTAGCTGCTTTTAAAAACGTTCTAAGAAAGTCCAATCAGACCAATTTAATCCCTAAACTATTCCACACTTTAAAAATTTAATTACCTAAAAATATTAAAAACTATTTAAAATAACTTGTTTAGCAGACTGTACAATAGCTATCTTAGTCACACGTAGCGCGTTCTCTGTCTGGGCGTCGAACACCTCTAGAAATTTGATGAACTGTACAAGGTTTCTATTTGTATTTTGAAAGTTTTTTTTATAAAAAACTTTTTAAATAAACCAGTTTATCTTGTAAATTTGTTATTTCTTTAAAATAAAAGAGAAGTGAATGACATAAATTTTGAAAACCTATCAGCTGATTAATCTTATAAAACAATGCTCTACTCATTGATTTACAGTGATTTTAAACGGGCGGTCAAAGTTAAGTTACCCGTCCATAACTTTGATCACTTTTGTTTTATTTTATTTTTTAAATGTATTAATTCGATACACAACATATATTTTATTCGTTAAAGGTGAAAGTGTCTTACCAAGCTCTCAAACTGACTACCAGTAACCTGTAGATATAAACTATTAAACTATTAAAAAAATATATTAGGGTCTAAAATTTAGTTTAATTTTTATTTGAGCATATATTTTTTGTTGAAATATTCTGTAACGCCCATGTTCAATTCTTTATTTGCGGATCCTTTCCTTTTTTCCAAGAGGATTTACGTACTTAAAGGTATGTAATCCCAAATGTTTTCTTTAAATCTTCAACTGTGTTACAATAGGACCGACTATTATTTGTTGTCATTCTATTTTAGAACGATTCTTTTTATACATTCTGCCTCTGTTTGAAAAAGAAGTTTTCAATCCTTATGTGATTGTTCAATTGACTATAACATTAGTAAGCATAATACACCGAGAGTCATTTTAGTAAATTGTAAGCCGTAACTGATACTCTGAAATTCGGGAAACCTTTCAAAAACCAAACGAAGAATACTTTATTCAAAACGTTTTGATTTTTATCTGCCATCTACGATTGTTTTGAAAAGAAGAAACTCGACAAACGAAATAACATGGAGAATTAATTATGATTAAATATCTCAAAATACATTTCTTTTATATTCTAGCGACCTCAAAATAATTTCTAAGGACCGTTTGAAAGTAAAAGGTATACAGTGCTTATTTTTTCGTGTTAAGACTGCTTTAGACTACACAGATTCTTGTACAAGATCGAGACGCGGCTTAGTAAATGGCTTAGGAAAAGTAAACAAATTTTACAACAAAACCAGAAACAAATAATAAACGAAAGTAATTTGCAAATATTATTATTTAATAAATTAATAAATCACTGTAACAAATCATTAACAATCTTGTGGCAATATCAAGTAAATTTGTATATTAGTTTAGAAAGAGTCCATAACTTTTGAAGCAACAGTCAATGAAATGAACCTAAATTGTCAGAATATGGTCGAATTGATCGACAGCTTAAGCCTAGTCTAGACCTACATACATTTATTTAAAAACATTCAAACAAATGTTTAATGTTTTTTGGTTTCCCATCAGAATGGGAATAACGTGTTTTTATTTTCGCCAAGAAGCAAGTCTCGACGCGTTCGAAGCAAATGTTTGTAAAGTAATTGTATCAGTGATAGCGCTATTTCCTGATTCATTGTTTATTGTGCTTATACATATAGGGCTATATAAAATGTGGAACCAAGAAAAAACTCTTTTTTTAATTGAAGACCTGCAGAAAAGTACAATGTCAGTACAGGAGACATTGAACAAAAGATTTAGCCACTAAAAAATTAATTTCGCCGAGAAAATAAAAAATTATTAGACTCTGAATGAAGTGGAACATCTCCTAAGCAAGTGAACTGGTTTGGCTACAAAAGATTATTATTTTTACTACAAGGCTATGAGTCTAGAGGTAGTCGTTCAAATGAAGTGGAGCATCTCCTAAGCAAGTGAACTGGTTTGGCTACAAAAGATTATTATTTTTACTACAAGGCTATGAGTCTAGAGGTAGTCGTTCAACAGATGTAGGACATGAAGAGGAAACTGAGGTAAGAATCTTAATTTATTTTTTTTTATTTTACTGTTTTTGTCTTCTTCTTCTTCTTCTTCTTCTTCTTCTTCTTCTTCTTCTTCTTCTTCTTCTTCTTCTTCTTCTTCTTCTTCTTCTTCTTTGCGTCAAAGTATGTATTAAGGCACTTCTTTTTGTTTAAAACAGGGATGTGGTCCAAAACATGGTATTTTTCTAAAACTAAAAAAAGTCATTTTATAATACATATTTTTACTAAAAATATTAGATTAATTTCGTGATATAAATGAAATACTATCTGAAATAAAATAAAACTTGTTATTCTTTCAAAATGGTTTGTAAAAATGATCATTTTGGTCCTAACAAATAACTTCCTGCGATATGACCCTAAAGGCTACAAAATTGCTATGAAAACCACTATATAGGTAGTCCTGCTCACAATGTCACTAATTGTTTTTTTTTTTTTAAATACGGAAATCTTAAAATTATGCAAAATATATAGCCGGATATCTTGGTATAGAAAATATTGTTTTCAAGGTCATCTTCACGACTTAGCTGTGGACTTTATTTGGAAAAAACTTCTAATTTGTACTTAAGATAAGTAGGCTATTTGAATTTAAGAAAAATCTTATTTGTTGCACACTCAAACGTATACCTAAATACCTAGTATATTTAAAAAAACTACTGAAAATATTTAGAACAACTATTTATTTAGTCATTCATCAATCTAGACAGACAAGTTTTGCCAAGGGACAGAGCCTTGCGGAGATACAAAATATTCTTTGAATGCATCTCTTATTTCTTGGTTTCATGGTTAATCGTATCAAAAGCTTTACTAAAATCTAACAATACCAAAACAGTACAATCGCCATCATCCCTAGCATGAAATATGTCATCTGTAATATGTAGTAATGCTGTTGTACAGCTGTATCCAGCTCGAAAACCTGACTGTGTTTAAGGCAATATATTATTTTGTGACAGATGTTCACCAAATTGTTCAGCGATTATCTTTTCATTTAATTTTGAAAGACCACAGAGAATACTTATGGGCATGAGATCAGAAAGTTCTTTAGGATTACTAACTTTGGGAATAAGTGTAACTTGGGCATGTTTCCAAACTGTGGGAAATTGTGATGATATAAAAATACTATTAATAATATTAACAAGATATGGAAGGATGTATGGGCAGCACAATTTAATAAGTGAAATACTTAGGTTGTCGGAACCGGGAGAAGTATTACGTAGTTTCAAAAGTGTCCTTTGAATAATGTCTTCATTAATATTCTGGGGTATACTGTTAACAAAGAAATCGTTGATAACATTGGGATCCTGAAACAAAGCGGATATATGATTCCGTTTATTATTAGTTATACGTTGTATTATTGTATGATTAGTAATGTTCCTTAGATTTTTATACTGTTGCCAGTTATGTGGTGTACGATATTTCTTAAATTTAGCTTTAGCCCTATCCCTTTCCCCCATTACCCTCTGGATTTCTAGTGTCAACCAAGGAGCTTTCTTTTTTGTTATTCTGGAAGTTTTAAATGGTATATGTTTGTCAAAAAGATTTAGCATTATGCTATTAAATGTTTCTATTTTATTATCAATTTGGTGAATATAATATAATTGATTTAAATTTGCCTGCAAGAGGTTGGTGTAAAACATTTCGGCATTAAAATTGTTAAAATTTCTATAAGTTATAAATTTGGGCTCAAGCTTTAGTTTTCCACATTTAATTTTACATCCTATGCATTCATGAAATGAAAAATTTGATTCCGTGACAAAAGTAGAGTCGTCAATGTCCTTATTACTGCATAATAATACATCAATAAGAGACTCTGACTGAGGGGTTATGTGCGTGGCATCAGTGATTATTTGAAATATTTCCGCCGAAGAAAGCATGGACTGAAAATAGCGAGTCCAAGGTGTATGTTCATGTAAAAAAATAATATTAACATCTCCCATACATATTATATTATTAGTGTATGACATAGCAATAGTTAAATATGTTTCTAGACTATCAATAAAAGATTTGTAATTAACATCTGGAGATTTACAAACAACAAAAAAGGAAATCCGTTAAATGACACTTTTAGAAATAGTTGTTCAATATTATCATCTAAATCTAATACTTGATATTTAAATTCGCTTTTGATATAAACTAGTACCCCACCACCACGTTTACCTCCACTTCTGTCTTTTCTTGCAAGATTATATCCATCAATTCTTAAACTATTAGATTGAATACATTTAGATAACTAACTTTCAGTTATTCCTAAAATATCAAATCTTTTATTTCTAATGTAATTCTTTAATTCTTGAATTTTTGGAAAAAGTGACTGAATATTTAGGTGACCCATTAAAACTAAATCATTATTTACACTAGGCATACTATTTACTATTTACACTACAGTTAGATTAAAGAGATAATATAAATAAATTAAAATAAAATCATTGAAAAATTTTGTCTACACCATTTTTGGTTTTGGCTAAAAAATTTCCATTGAATGTCCAGACATTTTTAAAACCATATTTTTCTGAAGCAGTTTTTACTATTTTTAATCTTTCCGTCGTTAGATCTTCTTTTATTACTACGCCACTTCCCTTCAACATCCTTTTCTTATTATAAATTGTATTTTTTTGAAAGGGTTAGAAAACAACAACGATATGTCTTGGCCGTCCATTTGTCGGTTGTCCTACTCTGTATGCAACGACAGGTCCATCTTCACGATTTAATTTCAACTTACTAGTGAAAAGATGCTTAACCGTATCCAATGTATTTTCGTTTTCTGATAGAGTCCCATTAACCTAATATTATTCCGTTGTGATTGCTGTTGTAAGTTACTGACTTGTTGTTTTAATTTTTGTTGGTCATCGGATTCAGTAGTATTGTTGGAATTACTTTCTGTTGATTTTAGCAATTCTATCTCTGCTTCAAGAGATTGAATTTTCGCATCATAATAATTAAATTTTTCTGCAAATTTTTTGGTAATTGTTTTAATAATAGCATCACATATTGCATTGGTTACACCATCAGATTTTAAGGCAGGCGTCAACAAGAGATCTTTCAAACTCAGTTTGCTGTCTGGTTGGCATTTTATTAGGAATAATATAGACGTAGTGAAAATCAATAGTTTTTCAGTTATTTAAGTATAATAGTTGCGATTTCTAACTGTAGTCTATGGAGTGTTTTCATTCGCAATTACACATGCCCACTTTTGTTTCTTGCTTCGGGGAAAGAAACGACAGTTCGGCAACGTTGTGTTAAAATTTATACTAGTATAACTAAAGTACTGGGCTTTTATTAAAATGAATTAAATTGTTTGTAGTTTTTTGTAATATATCTGCATCTTTAGGATATAATAAAATAGGTTTAAAAACGAATTATTTTGTACACTTACAATAGTCCAATGAATGTCGAAATGTTTGTTAGTGCACTTTTCAAAATTTATTTGAGCACAATAACTGTTATTTAATAAAATTAGAGTTTATCGAAATTAATAACACGTTTTCTTGTTTCTTGTTTACAAATATTTAAGCCAATCATTTTTAAAATTTTTAAATCCAGATCCTTCATTAAATTTTAGGTCTCTTAATAAGTTTGAAGAATGTTATATTCCGTTTTTCAGGAGTTGACGTACCCACCAACGTTTTTGTTTCCTTTTCTTTTTTTACGTAACATAAAATATATAGGGGTCTATTCTGTAACAATTCCTTTATATTTTAACGGCCGTTAAAATATTGGCGGCCTTTAAAAATAATTTCGTATTCGTTAATTTACTTCTGTCATTATTTAAACAGATTTCTTAAGATAGTCCTCTAATGTATTTTAAAGATCCGTTTAAATAATGACAGAAGTAGAGAAGAAAATATTTTTAAAGGTCGTTAAAATATAAAAGAATTGTTACAGAATAGACCCCATATCCAGCACAAATACCCGCTACTATCTCATTATTCACCAACATGTTTTTGTCTTTAGAATGGACTGAATCGCTATCTCGTTTAAACTAATGTTTACTGGAAACAAAATACCGTACACACGTGTATAAATGTTTTGTTTGCAGGCAAATGTTTCCAAACATTTGTTCGTGGGCAGTGTATGGACTAGGCTTTAGAGAATGCCATGGTCTTTTCGAAACTGAATTCATTACATAACTCAATAATATCAAGCCTCGAAATTAAAGAAATGATTAAATGTCTACACAAAATTTACAAACTAAACGAAATCCCTAAATTTTATATTCTAAATTATTATCAGCTACTGGGAACACAAATCCCTTTTTCAGATTCACAATTAATGTTTGCTTTACATACACCTATTCTAAAACCCCACTTTTCCGATTTTTTCCTATTTATCCAATAATCCAACGAAATAAAATAACATCTTCCTATCATTACATGGCACGATCAGATGAAGAATCGCAATTCCAGAAACAAGAATTCCCTATTTTAGAAAACTTGTATTTCTGTCAGCACAACCCAGTTCCGAGAGATAACTTCGCCTTCTGTATGGTAGCACACCTTCAAGTTGCGATATAAGCGAAGTCAACTTACAAGAAACAATTATCGAACAAATAACCACCAGCAAAGTATTAATAATTTCACTCCAAACAAAAAAAAGTACTATCAAAATGTCAAAGAGACCAATTCGTAGAAGTTAAAGTTCCATCATTAATCAAAATCTCAGATGGATGTGAGATATCAATCGATGAAATGAAATTTTCCAATAACCAACAAATCCAATATGGCTAACCACTAATACTACCAAGATTTTTAATAACAAATTTAGAATCACAATAAGTTATTGTGGACCTAGGAATATATGCACCCAAAAAGTAGTTAAATATGCGCATATATATATGCCGCAAAATACTTCAATATATGCGTAAAAAATTGAAAAATATGCAGAGCATATGCAATAAGAGTAATTTGTTATTTGATCGAAATAGTTTATTAATATTTATTATTTGTTTTATTTTACAATACCTAATATAATACTTAATAATTATTTAATTATTAACTAATTTTATTTACAAATCAACATTATTATAAAACGAATGAACAATTAGATGTTTTTCTAAATTATCTGTATTAAATTATCGTCTCCTATCAGTAAGTATGTAGGTACTTGTACAAAGAAAA